ACGATGGGGGGAGGGAGGCCGAATAAGGGAGCAGGCCGTGGAGGTGAGGAATGGGATTTGCCCAATACCAGTTAGGGGTTCAGAATCACTGGAATAGGGAAAGCATAAGGGAGCAGGAGTAAGCCACCCACTGAGGAATGAGCAGAGGCCAAGAAGCAGTGGTTGGCTCTGTTGTGATAGCATAAGGGAGGCAGGCAACTAGGCTCAAGACTCAGCTTCCTGGCAAGTGGCACCATATCTTGTAAGGCCCAGGCCTAGGCCTACGTCCCAGCAGGCAGAGGTATGGCCTGGGGGAGTCTGCACAGGAAGCAGGAGTTGGCAGCCTGAGGTGGGGCAGCAAAGGCCTCCAGGAGCACCGGGGAAGGCCATGGAGTGAAGACAGGATGAAAGGCAGGCGGTCTGGACGCGAGAGTGACTCAGGGCTCCCCAGGAAGTCTTCACTAAGCTGAGGGGCTCCTCTTGTACCTTACAGGATGCTCTGTATGCTGCAGGCTCCTAAAAATTGTTTGCTGAAGAAAAACACCAAACAGTCCCACACCTCAATGAGTTCTAGGGACATGATTCAATTGAACACAGCACAATTATTGGTATTCGTAATAATGATTCTAAGTCATTCAGAAAAGGTTAATTGTGTTCTCTGTCCTCTGTTTCAGAAGACAAGGAAGTGATTCATAATCCATTTTTGAAAGGTTTTCATCAAAAGTGTTTCAACCAAAAACTGTTTTGGTATTTAAAGGGTGAGAATTTTAGTTATGTGGAAAATTTCAATTATGTACAACAGCTCTTTTTCCAGTGTCATGGGAGCTAACACTGCAGACGGTTAATAAGGCCTTTGTGCTCTATTCATTTCCAATTCAGCTCCTTCTATCTCACAAACCCCTAACTTCTGGGCCGTCAGAGAGCTCCGCAGGCCCGAACTACCAGACCACTGTCAAACGCCTATTGCTGTCTTCCGAAGATGCTTTTAAATTAGTACAAGTTTCAAAACAACAAGTTTCCAAAATTAAATCAACCGATGGCAGAAACCTTCCAAGGTGAGATGCTGTCACGTCAACATGCTCTCCTCCCCCACCACCAAAGGCCCATCCTTTTGATTCAAGCATAACTTCAAGCCCATCCAAGAAATGTGGTTCTTGCTAACTGAACCATGTGATTAATATTTGTATTTATACTTGGAGGTTAATTGTCTCTTTATGCCTTAGGATTAATTGAGTCTATATCACTCAAGCAGCTGACATACTATAATGAGTGCATTTGTCCCCAACTACATTCCATATGTTAATGAGCTCAATTCACTTTCCCTTCCATCTCAACAATCCACACAAGGAAATAAAGCCGCACTAATTCACTCTAATGGGAAGAAGGTCCGTCAGACTCAAGCCAAGGTCAGAAGCGACCTACAGGGGTCCAGAGAAGTCCAGAGAAGTCCAGCACCTGACATCACTTAAGACGATGGAGCATTTGACGGTTTAAAAAGCACTCATTTTCACTGGATCTTTATGACAATCCTGTGACATTGCCAGGGCAGAGATGATTACCCTCAACTCCAAAATGAGGATGTTCCACTCACCCTGACCAAGGCTACCTGGTTAGAAAGTGATGAAGCCAAGATTCTAGACTCAAGCTTCAATCCACTTTCCTCCACATCAGGTGGGGCCTTGTTAAATCACAGAAAATACAATTCACCTTAGGTCCACATTTTATAAGAACACATGAAATGCAAAAGTCACTAGCCTACACAGAATTAACTATCATACTCATAAACTAAAGAATTAGTAAGGGAGATCCTTAAGTTCCCCACCCCTATTAAACCCTAGGTTTGAGAAAACTACTCATTTTGGACCAGACTTTCTTTACTTCTAAGACACAGATATGTCATTGTGAGCCTCTTCCTGAATAAAAATCATGTATACTGCTTCTAAATTTGTATAAATTCCTAATTACTAGATTCCAAATTTATGGGATTTTCTTGCAGTAAAATCTATTTAATGAGACACCTGCTGTTCCTTGGGAAAGGGATTTTTTTTCCCCTGGACAGGTGGCTTCTGAATGCAGGTTCTGATCATTCGTTGTCTAAAATCTATGCTAAGAAAATCCAGGCTTTCAGACAGGTGCCCTTCAAACAGAAGAGGTCTCCTTGAAGGCTTCAGTCTAGCTATAGCTGAAGAAAAAGCCATGCTGAAAAGAAACTGGAGTCAGAGCCAGGCTGTGTACAGATTTAATGAAAGTGACAGCAGCAGCTTCAGCATTGGCAGGAGGACACTGATTGAAGGGACACGCTTTTCCAATTACTAATGTTCTTCTTAATCAAAGCATAAAAGGAAGTGTGTTTGGTGGAATCAAAGCCCTCTTTTGTTTTCTGAATCACTCACTTTTCAGGGAACTACCAGATAAAGCCCCCAAATTCCCACCCTTCATCTGTCACAGACTGTCTGGCTGACTCTGGACAGTTCACATGGCACTACATCCCTGCCTGGGATTTCTCACCTGTGAAGGGGATAGATAGGAGCCCTGAAGTTTTGAGAATACTTAACGAATGTAGACCTCAGTTACAAGATGAATAAATTGCCTTAAGCACCTTTGTTGATCTGACTGAAAAAAATCTTATGTTCTGTTTTTTTTAATTCATTTTATGTATATACTTTTACAATATATATTCTACTCATCATCTTCATTTCTAAATCCATCCCTCTTTAGAGAGCTATCTCTTGTATCAAAGAATAAAAATATACGAGAAGTTTGACAAAACTAACCAATACATCAGCCGAGCTGGACAGCATCCCTAGTCACCTGCACGTTCTGCCACCGAGGGAGAGGAACGTTTTCTCTGCTCCTCAAAACACTGTTCTGAACTCTTCACACACATCATGCCTAATGGCCCAGCAGTATTCGGTTCCATTTACATGCCACGAATGGGTAGCTGCTCTCCAGTGGATGGACCACTTTGCTTCTCGTCTTTTGCTACCCCACAACATGCTGCTATCAATGCATGGGACCTTTCTTACTCTCTTTGATCTCCTTTGGTACAGTCCCAGCAGTGCAGTCTCTGCGCCAATGGATATGACAGACATTTTAGTCACTTTCTTAGTATAATTCCAAACTGCTTTCCAAAATGGTTGGATCAATTCGGAGTTCCACCACTAATATATTGCTCCCAGACCTCCCATAGCCCCTCCACTACTAACTATTCAATCTTTTGTCTCATGCATTCATCTTTCAATAACAGAGGCAAATCTAGGTGGCACAGAGAGTAGAGCTGAGTTCCCAAACTGGAGTTGGGAAAACCTGAGTTCAAATCTGGCCTCAGAAACTTACTAGCTATGTGACTCTGAGCAAGTGACTTAACTTCTATCTCAGTTTCTTCATCTGTACAATGGGGATATTAGCATCTATGTCCCAGAATTGTTGTGAGGTGCAAATGAGTTAATATTTATAAAATGCTTTGCAAACCGTAAGGCATTACAAAAATGCTAATTATTATTATGATTATAATTGTTAATGTTATAAGAAGCTAACCCCTCTTCCTGTCCCCATCCCCCAAAGAGCTGAGAAATCAGGAGTTTTCCTGGTAGAGTGGGAAGAATGCTGTTGGCCCAGGAGCTGAGCACCTGTGGCCCGACTTCAGCCCTGCCACTGACTGGCCATAACCTTGGAGAATTCAATAAAAATTTCTCTAATTTCCAAGTCCAAGAATATAAAATGAGAAGGTTCTAGTAAACGGCATCCAATGTCCTAGCTCTAAAATTCTGTGATCATGCATTTTCTAATCAATGTTACAGGGCTATTAGATGCCTCATCTGTCCTTCAAAGCAAAGGTCAAATAAAAGAATTGGGAAGACCATTACGCTGAACATCCCCCAGACAAGATCATCATAGAACCCGAACTCTTGAGACACCCTCTGTGCTGCCAAGCAGGGAAATGGAGGCAGTGAAGGGAACAAGCAGAGGCAGCTTCTGTTTCACAAGGGACCTTTCCCTTTAAGGGAGAAACGATGAAAGCTGGTCTTGTCTTCTCTGCTAGGTCCTTCAGATAAAAGAAAAAGGAAGCCGAAGTCCAGGACAGTTATCATTAATGGATGCGGACAAGCTAAGCAACTCCACAGTGCCAAACTCTCTACAAAAACAGACTTACAACCTTGAGATCGGCAGGTAAAGGGATGCTGGGGGGTCAAAGACCTGGGTTCTGATTCTAGTTCCTTCCAATAATTAAGCGATGTGACCCTGGGCAAGTCACTCAATTAATCCCTCGGGCCTCAGGATCCTACTCTAGTCTGGATTCAGGGTTGGCAAACTCTGGCCAGCAGGCTCAATGGGAACTGTCACCCATTATTGTACAGCCCAGGAGCTAAGAGGGGTCTTCGTAATTTTAAATAAAGTCCTCTAAAAGCAGGCCAGGCAGCGGGCCTCAATGACCTTCAAAGCCACTTCCACCTCTGAGATATCCAGACTTGAGAATGTGGGAGGCCAGCAAACGTTGGCTGTGCGTCCCTAGAGGGCAGGGCATTGTCCAATCCCTCCACAGATTCAGAAGGGGTGGCAATCGTGTCTCAGGAAGAATGCAGAGATGGGGCAGAGCACAGCACGTAATGGATCAGTTCTGAGTAGCCACCAACAGAAGAAAAAGTACGTTGTCTAGCGAAAATAGTCAAGGCAAGCACAGTGGCTGGGGCTTTTCCAACAAACACAGGAAGATGGGTATGGACTGATGCAGAACTCGAATAACAATACACAACAACAACAATGATGGAAATGAAAATTGCCACCCAAGACAGTCAAATCCAGATAAATTATAATGACCAACTTAGGTGGGAGCCTAGAGGGGGCAGAGTGTTTCACTCGGAAAAGAAGGCTCACTAGGGGAGCCACATTAACTGTGGTTTAAAAAGAGAAGGCAACAGTGACCCTTAAAAACAAGCCAGCTCCCTCGCAGCCATGACCCCCCTCCTCCCCGGGGCAGGTATCTCAGTCCCAGGTTCAGCAGCACCGGGAGCACAGCCTACCTTGGCCTGGACTGCGTAGGAAGCCAGGAGCACCGACGCCTCAGGAGGGCAGTAAATCTTCTCATCCAGAATCTGTTTCTTCACCTACACAGAGCACCAAGGGAGATGTGAGAAGGCATACGTGGTCCACCCGACACATGACGGCCATGGCAGATGGCTGCAGCTCGTTCTGACGAGGTCTGCCCAACCAGGCCAACACAGAATATGAGACTTTACTGACAGAGACTCCAGGACTCTGTCACATTAAGAAGACAGCTTATCTTCACCTTATCATACGCCGGATAAGCAAAAACAAGATCTTTACTATCAAACAAACTGACATGGACTGAAGCTGAAACCCTGTGCTGTCAGACCAGGTTAGAGCTAAACACAAAAAAATCTCCAAAGCAACAGCTCTAACTGGAGCTCCTCACTGGGCCCCTGCCGAGTCTGAACACAAGATCAAAGCTGCACGGTCAGCCCCGCTGAACTGTAGCCGATAAAGAGCCATTCCTTTCTATTTGCTCACTCCAAAGAAAATGGAAGCAATAAAGTCTGACCATTAAACTTTTCAATGCTTGCAAGTCCAGGAAACAGAATTCTCAGGCCACAATGTTGAAATGACATAGCCTCCTACCATTCTGTCATGTCAGACACCCAAAATGAAGGGGTGGGGGGGGGGGGGTTACACAGCTTTGCTGACTGGAGTAAGTAGCTCCCAAATAAATGAAGACGGTTGACTATGATTTCACATAGCCATGTCTGATGGGTGTCCCAGCGTACACTGCAGTTCAATCTTCATCCAAACACTCAGGCTGCAATATGGGAAAAACTGGGAGGAAGCCATAGAGGATCTATGTACCATTTCCATGTACTTTTAAGGGAACCATTTAACACCTGGGCTATCATTCATGCCCAGTCAATGGTTATGTAGTAATCAATCCTACTCAAGATTTCTTCCCTAGTTTTAAAGTTGTCTTTGCTTTCTTCAAGTAAAAACTAAATCCTAGATGCTTCCAAATGCAGGAAAGAAGTGTCCCCTCTATCTTTTTATGCCGTGGCTTAGAAGAGGAGGGGAGGGAAGATACATACATGAAACCTCTTCTTTTCAAGGCTAACTCTCAACTGATTGCCAGGTTCTGTGTCTCTCCTTTGTCTCTCTCCTCCTCTGTCCTCTCACCTTCCCTGTACATCTCGAACTCATGTCCAGGAGGCCTTCTGGTCTGGCTACACTTGTAGACACTGTCATTCTGGTACAACATTAATTCATGCTGATCCTTTCTTTGAGATGGCACCCAGATAGAAGAGGCCCTGGCAGTCAGACCAGGACAAACTATGGCACCATCACACCCCCTTCAGTAAGGGCAAAAACTCTTCAAAGCACCGACCAGTTCAGTGATAACGAGTGAGACTGAGAGACAATACAGGGAAGGAAGGGAGGTGACATGGGCCAGAACTACCCAGAAGGATAAGGCCTGGGCAGGTTGAGATAAATGCCAAGAGAATGAGCAGCGGTATATGCCAGATATCCACTGAAGTAGCCAAGTCAGATGGCAGCGGGTCTCGGGCCTGCCAAGTCATCGCGCTCATCTGTACTGAGCTGCAGAATCAATGCTTACCCTCCACCCACGTCAGAGTTTTGAGGAGCTGACGATAACACAGGGGTGCCATGCTCCCATAGCACTTTGCCCCTTATCTCCAATACCAGTGAAAATAAGTTTTATTAAGTGACCCAAACCCTGATTTGAATTACATCCACGTACAATGTCTTATCGTCCCTATTCGACTCTCGGGTCCGGGAGGGCTGGCACCCTGTCTTCTCTGCAGAATGACAGAACCTCACGGTGGGGAGGGATGTGAAAGTACCTTCGTGTATCCCCTACTATGCTCAGCTCCCCTCTTCTAGTAGAAGAGGAAGATTAACTGAAAGAAAGTAATTTTTTTTTTTGAGAAAAGTCTGTTATTAAATTTAACTTTCACTGAGCACAACAATATGCTGAGGGCTCTGGCTCAAATTAACGATAACAGCACTACATGATAGACATAACATTCACTTCTGGGAAATGATGTAATTATTCCTCCCCCTACCCTCAGCAATCTTTTATATTACTGACAGCTGGCACCTTTGGGCCTGAGAGGCAGCTCGGGCACAAATCGCTGGTAACTAACCATGAAATTGTGGAAGGGCTGTGACTGGATAGAAAATAGGAGGACGAGTGAAACTGGTGGCCTTCTCCTGTCCCTGCAGACCACACCCAGCAACCCCAGAATAACCCAACGACCCAGCTTGCTGCCTCCATCATGGGTCAAATCATTGCTTCCATTTCAAGTGCTCAATTCTCAGCCTGAGAAGCCTTTCCCAGGTAGGCGTCCTTAATCTCTCTGCATACTCCCAACCTCTCCTTTCTCCAGCTAGTCTGCACCTAGTAATCAGCATGTGGTCTCCCCATTAGATTGGGAGCTCCTTGAGGGCAGGTCTCCCTTTTGCCTTTCTTTGCATCCCCAGTACTTAGCCTAGTGCCTAGCACACAGTAGGTGAATGATAAAGGATGGTTTACTGACTACTTCCTAGCTGCAAAGTACTAGAGGTTGTGAGATATCCAAAAGTGGCTAACAAATTCTCCCAACTTTCACGGATCAAGTAAGGGAGATAAACCATGGCGGACTACAGTGCAAGGCAGAATATGATAAAAGCCATAGGCCTACTAGAGCTCACAAGAGGGAGAAATTCTCCTCAACATGGGCGAGGTTGGTGCCTGGAGAGATGCTCTCCCCGCTCTGATCGCCTGGGGCCCCCCCACTGAGCCCCTTCTCCTTCGGCACCTGCCACTCATTCTACACGTGCAAACCTTCTCACAGGCGCCCTATTTTCTATTCCCGTGGTCACTGCCCTAGGCCTGGCCCTCATCAGCACCCATTCAGCCTAACAGGAATCCCATCTCCACTGTCCCCGTGACCCCAATACAATCTCCACAGCGCTACAGGATCAGGCGGCAGCATGGGCTAGTGGCTAGGAAGCCAGACCTCAAGGGCTGCTGCCAACATGCACAGGTTGGGTGCCCCTGGCAAGGGACTCGGGCAGCTGTCTAGGCAACTGCACTGCAGAGCAGGGGCCAATCTTCACTGGGAGTTCCTGTACCAATTATTCATTCATCTGGCCAAAAAAAGCCAATCAGTGTGGCCTGGCCGGGCCTCTGCTCCAAGGTCTTCTGTGGCCTGGAGGGTGGAGTCCAAAATTGTCTACCTGGCAGTCCTCGTGTCACCCCCAGGATCACCCCTGGCACCACCAGCTGGCACCTGCCTTGGCTTCCCTGTTTCCTCCATACTAGGCATACCCACCGTGGTCCTTGATCTCTTTGCTCACACTGCCCTGTGCCAGGAATGCCCTTCCTTTGGGAATGAATGCCCAACTCAAAAGCCACCTCCTCCACGAAGTCTTCCTGGATCTGTCACACGCAGGAAACATGTCTCACTGCAGGATCTCCTGCCGTGCCATCTGTCCCTGCACCTCATCCCTCCTCAAACTACTCTTTGGCCTCACTGTAGCTCCAATCCCACCAGGTTTAGCCTCTCACCCATGCCTTAAGATCACCTTCTCCTCTCCCTAATAATGACACCATGCCCAACTCATCCAACTCTGTTCACTTCCCTCCTGACCCAGAGGCCAAGCCCCAACCCTTCCTCGTCACTTCTATCCCTTGCCTCAAGTCCAACAGAGCCAGACCAAGGTAACTGGATCCGTGACAAACTTGTCATGTGTCCTCAACTGAGCCCTCACTGCAATGAGGCAATCCTTCTACTCCCCCTAATTAATTGGTTTTTTTTAAGTGACTTGCCCAGGGCCACACAGCTAGTAAATGTCTGGCTGCATTTGGACTCTGGTCCTCCTGACTCCAGGCCTCCTCCTCCTTCCTGTCTCATCAGACTCCTTTCCTGGTTCATCATCCTCATGGTGCTCTTTAACCGTGGGTGGACCCTGGGCCCTCTGCTCCTTTCTCTATACCCTCATCAGTATACACACATTTAATTATCATCTTTATGCAGATGATTCCCAAATTTACTATCTGGCCCCACCTAATCTTTCTTCTGTACTCCAACTGTCCACTGGACATTTCAAACTAGATGTCCCACAGGCATTTCAAACTCAATAAATCCAAATAGGTTTTATTTGGTTATCTACCCAAAACAAAACATATCCAAATATATATCAAAAACAAAACTCGTTGTCTTTCACCCCAAAAGCACCACTTCTCTGAATGCCCTCCCTTGGCCAAGGACAGCATCACGCTTCTACCCCCTTGGGTTTGCTAACCTGGCATTCTTCTCAACTCCTCACTCTCCACCACCCACAACTCTCATCAGTTACCAAATCCTGCCGCTGCTCCCACCACACCTCCAGCATCATCCCCTTCTCTCCACTCATACTCAGTCACCACCTATGTCAGGCCCTCTAACAATACAATATTACAATTACAATAGCCCCCTAATCCCCGTAGACCTCTCCTTTTTGTAGTCCATACTCTAAGGGCAGATCTGGCCCAGTCACTCCCCTATTCAATAAACTCCAGGGATTCCCTATTGCCTTGAGGATCAAATATAAATTCCTTTATCTGAGTTTTAAGGGGCTTTACCCCTCGCCCCAGCCTGCCTCTCCTACCTTCCTACATTCTGCTGCCCAGCCAGACCCTTCCTGCAATGTACTTCCCCCAAATGACACTCCACTTCCTGTGTCCATGCCTTCTCACTGGCTCTCCCCAACGCCTGGAATGTACTCCCCCAGCCCCTCCTCAGCAGTGCCTCTTCCACGAACCACGTCCTGACCCCCTCGGCGGCTAGCACAGCCCCCTAAACTGCCTTGTGCAGACTCATGCAGGGTCAGAGGGCTCTTGGGGCTCCCAGTGTCTGGTGCATCAGGGGAACTTATTAAACCCTTGGTATCGACTGATGTCTGTATCATGGATGACTTCGTTTTCTAACCATCTGTGAACGGCTCCTATCCCCTACCAGACTCCAAGCACTACACAAAGAAAAGTGGCGTCTCAAAGCTTGGTGTCTCTGCTAGGGCTGAGTGAATGCTCACTGAGTGACTGAGCCTACAAAGAACATTTTTAGCCTAGAGGAAGGAGGGTGAAAAGAGCAATGGATTAAAAGCCAAGGGCCTGGGGTCCAGCTCTAGCCGTACAACTGGCTACGTGGCCATGGGCAAATCCCTTCACCTTTCTCAGCCTCAGTTTCCTTATCTGTCACATAAGGAGTCCAGACTAGTTTTTAGGATCTCCTCTAATACAATCTATGTCTCTACATGTCAAGACTTACATGAAGAATGAATGTCATTTTCAATATTCTCTCCTCATATTCTGTGGTACAGCAGAGAAGACAGCAGATTTAGGAACCAGACCTAGGTTCAACTCTGCTATTTATGGGCTACAAGCAAGTGGGCAAGCATTGTCACCCTTCTAGGCCTCAATTTTGATTAGCTATTAAAGGAGGGAGATGGGCTAGGACCTCAGCACTTCTTAAAGACCCCAAGGGGTCTCGACTCACAGTTTAAGAAGTGCTAAAGGAGTTGAGAGCGGAAAAAGTTTAAGAAGCTGTGGGCTAGGTGACCTCCAAAGGCCCCTTCAAGCCCTAAATCTACGGGCCCACGTGGTCTCACCTCAGCCAAGGTGACTCTCATGCTTCTTCCTGTCCAGAGCTGCAGGGCATGCCTTGCTCATCTCCTGGGGCAGGTGTTTTTGCAATAAGACAGGCATCCAGAAGACCCTAGAGGAAGTCTCTAAACCAAACCTTGCCACTGCATTTGGGGCATTCGCCTCAGAAGTAAAAGGGACAGCAGGGATACACTGGGATACCTGTAGGAAGAATAAATGCTGTGTGATCTCCTGGACCAGCTCCTCCTCTGCATTCTCTGGATAAAATTTGGCCAGGAAGTGAAAGGTGACTGGCTCTTCCTTTGAAACGTCATGATCCAGCACCTGAAAAATTGCAGGGCAAAAGGTCAACAAGGTGAGAGTCGGGCCCGTGTCCAAAGCACCACTCCCTTCGTGCATGTGGCCCGCCGGCTCCCAGAGGCCATGACTCGGCAACATGCAGCATGCACAACTCAGCACTAAGTGCTACAGAGGTTCACCCTACACTGCTGTTACAGAGCTCAGCTAATCTCTAGGACCTCCACGGATGCTGCTTTTGTTTTGGAAGGGAAGGAAGATGAGCAACATTACGTCTTTAGTTCAGATAAAGGTAAAAGAGATGTCTTCAAGGTCAAAAACCATGGCCATACACCTGCCAGCTTGTGACCGGGTCCTGCTTGGGCCACCGGTTGTCCCTGTCAGGGGTCTGTAGAGCCCCTTGGGCACTGCTGTCTCCTCCTGCCCAACCTTAGTCCATGTACTGGAGTGGAGCCTGGAGGTGATGGGCAGGACAGAAAAAAAGCCTGGCCACCGTGATCTCACTGATTTGCAGTAAACTCCTGAGATGCTTCCAGGAACACTGGAGGCCCGTGGGCCCTAGTCTGGGAACCCTTGGCCAGTCTGGCAACTCCATCCACTACCTTCCCTAATGTCAACCATCTGCTACCCAGAATGCATTTGAATTCAGGGGACAAACATGTCATCTCGCAAGCTACAAAGTTCCATTAACATGTCATAATTTATTTCCTCTGAGCGGTACACTCCATAGCTCCTTATGCCCTCAATCCATCATCAATTTTCCTAGCAGTCAGACATAATTCAAACTCATTTTGTTTAGAATTGCAAAAGGAGACACAGAAAAGTTCTACAGTTTTGGGGGTGTACAATTCTCCTGCTCAAACTCCACGTGCAATCACCCAGATCAGGGAAAAACCCAGAGTCACGGCCGCTCATGTCAGCCAACGTCCAAGAGTCCTTGCTGTGAACTCTGTCTGGGTGTTTCTGACTGCAAGGGACTCCAATATGTCAGGCCATAATAATATGTGTACACACTGACACGCACAGTTTAGATGTTAAGACTGAAAGTAAAGTGAGAAAAAGCTTCCATACTTTGTTAGGCACATAATTAGTATAGATTTTGAAGAGTCAGAAATGTAAGCATGAGACCCACGTCCAAACTGCAGGAGAAACACAATTTCTCCTGCCCCAGGAAGCCTGATAGAGAAATGGCCTGCAGGGAACTCTATTCCCTTGGATTATCATCTGAATTCAAGTTGGGACCTTGGAGTCAGTCAAAAATATAAAACTTAAATTCCCAGCAGAAGAGTAGAAGCTCTGACACAGCCTTTTAAATACACAAACTGCAAAAACGCACGTGGGAAAGAAATAGACATTTTTCTTTACAAGAACAGGCTAGTGGCTCGATCAACTGAAGGGTAGAAAGTCAGTCATAAGCAGCTTAGCAATACAGGATAAATAAACTGGGTCAGCAGTAATTTCATCTTAGTTTATGTGACTTGACCAGTAGAGCCTGGAAGCAGAGACTGCCTTCTGCTTTCCTGTCTGCGGTGGGTATGAAGGACTCTCTTCTCCTCAGCAAAGACCTCCAAGGGCCTGACAAGTCAATATGAAAACCAAGCACATGCTCAGGAAAAGGGCTGGGATAAAACCATCCCTTTGGTCCCCCGGTCCAAGTTCGGGGCCCAACCTTTTTGTCCATTTTGAGCCAGGCCACGGTGTCCTTGATTGTGTACTGCAGCCCAAAGAACCAGGTTTCCCGTAGTCCCAGAGTCCGGCACACCAGGTCAAACAGGTCCTTCCCTTTCCATTTCATCTGCAATAGAACCAACGGCAGAGAGCACTGAAAAACAACAACAATAACAGACTCTCCCCTCATGCAGCCCGCGTTAGGATCTTTTCTCTGTATTGGCACTTTCCGGTTTCAGGATTCCAAAACACAAAGCTCCTTTGAAGATGGCTGATGAACACAGAACCTAAAATGGACTTTCCCAATAATACTGAGCAAAGGCAGTTAGCTACTATAGGTGGAAAACGTCACTTGAAGCTTAAGGATTTGATAACTATGAAGCAAACACACCGAGCACCTCCCAGGGACATTCCTTGCAGATTCCACTCTTTCCAAAGGTGCTAAGAACAACCAGTACAAACCTTCAGATGAGGCTAATATGGTTTGTGAACCCAGTAGGACGCTTAGCTTGCAGAAACATTAGTTCAACATTTTTAAAGTCATTACTCTGTCCTGTGATTAAGGGGAATTAAAAAGGCTGTTTCAGAACTAAATAACTGGTTTTAACCACTAGTCCTTCTGTTTTATGTTTCAACTTTGTTAGTGTCATAGTAGGAATTTGATAAATGCTAGTGGAATCAATAATGTGGAGGGTAAGAAGACAGTCCTGCACGACAATAAAAGACATCTAAACAACCACAACGTCCATAACAACACGGAGAAACAAAGTTTAGATGAAACAGAGTCCCTGTTCCCTAGGAACCACCCCTCTAAAGGGGAGAAATCAGGCACAAGTACGATAGATAACTACAATGTGACACTACGGAGGGGCATCGGAAAGGTAAGAAACAAAGGTGGGAGAGATACGTGAAGGGGGCAGGGCCTGAAAGGCCCCCTGCTCAGGCGAGGAAAACGGAACAAGAAGCAGGCAGCTCCTGCCCGAGCTGACACAACAGCACAATTCTAAAATCCGAAACTGAGATTGTGTGTGGTTTTCTTCCTGAAACGAAAGCTACCGGCCCAGACCTGCTGGCCCAGCTTCCAGCCATCTGGAAGGCTGGCATCCTGGCGCACGCCAGCATTAAGGTGACTCCCTCCCTCCCTCAGCTTTGGTCACTGCTACCCCCTTGTGGCTAACCTGGTTAAATCAACCAGGGTCACAGCCCCAGGCTCCTCCAGGAGAAGGGCTATGTGGACCAGCGATCCAAACCACTGCTGGGGAAAAGGGGGGCCTGGCTTCTGTCTCCAAGATGCCCAAGCAAGAGATAAATGGAACCAAAGTGATGGGAGCAACGGTGGTGTGCTGGGATTCAGGTCTAAGGGCCACACCCTCCAAGGGATGAGGCTACTGCCTGGCTAGCTGTCCTTGGGGCACTAAGGCCTTAGCATGCTTAATGTTAATCACTGAAAAAGAGTGCCCCAAACTCCCTAGCATCATCAAAAAAGGGACAGGGGTTAAGGGACTCTTTAAAATTATAAGCAAAAATGAAAAATATTCTAAAAAAACCCTCAAGTGTTTGAGCTGCTTTCATCAGACGGGGAACTCCTTGAGAGCAGGGATTATTTTGCCTTTCTTTGTACGTAGTAGTACACAGCTTAGCACATAGTAGGTGCTTAATAAATGCTTGCCATAGTGATGATACTTTTGCTAAAACCCGACTCTGAAACGGTTTTAACAACTACCTTTGCTATCGTCATCATAAGGGAGTGGGCCCAGTGCACAGAAAGGCCAGATCCCAGCTACTATGCTTAACAAGCAGGCGGCCAGAGGCAGAAGAGCTCCCCAGAGAGAAGTCAGGGAGACACAGGTTATCCAGCCACCATCATCCCAGGCCCTTCAGCCTATTCTCCGGCTTGAAAGAGCTTGAGTTCTAAGAGTGATTTTAAATAAAGTGAAGCTGCTCAAAGTTCCATTTCTGCCAGCTCTTAACAAGTCAAACTTTCAATGACAGTTGTGCGCACCCCAGTTTCCCCATCAAGCTAAGGGTTTTTCCAGTTCCCAGAACATTTTAATCCCAGTGTGCAGACTTTACTAAAATAACATTTATTTTGGAAAAGAAAAACCACCTGAGTTTCAGAATATTTTCTCCCTAACACTATTTTAAGCCTGAACACAGTCCATGACTTATAAATGAACGGCTGTTTAACGAGAAAATGCAACACTAAACAATCACTATGAACCCTGGAGAAGGTGAGAGACCAAAGGTCAAGATGCTCTGAGCTGGAACTCCCCCAAACTAAGCAACACATCCCATCGCATCCCATCACACTCGCACCTGCTCATTAGGGCGGATGTGGGTGACAAGTTCTACACAGAACACTACTAAGCTATAGTTACTAAGGGAATTTTAACCAAATTTCTGGACTTGGGAGTTTGAATTCTCAACTGAGATACTGTATTAATGAAGTTCTACTGCACTGCTCTGTATATTTGCACTGAACTTTACAATCAAATACAAAAAACACAGACATGGGGACTACCGCCTCCCGGGTCCGGACAGGAGGTTTGGTTTGGAGCTCAGGAATATCAACCCATCAACGAGAATGTAGACACTACTCCCGGTCCTTTTCAGGGCCCAGCTCAGAAAAGCAATGAAATAACAAACCCTATTAGGGATGGCCGCAGTGCCAGCCACTGTAAACAACACATCACTAAGAGAGTAGGCTTTCCTTCTTTTCTTTTCTTTTGCTTTTTCTTTTTTTGGTGAGACAATAGGGGTTAAGTGACTTGCCCAGAGTCCCACAGCTAGTTAAGTGTCAAGTGCCTGAGGCCACATTTGAACTCAGGTCCTCTCGATTCCAAGGCTGGAGCTCTATTCACTGCGCCACGTAGCTGCCCCCCGGCTTTCTTTATTTTCAAGAGACCTGTGCTCTTCACGGCCACCGGAGGAGTCATGTTGAGTTCCACACGTGGACCTTCGCAAGCCACCTCTGGCCTGTCCAGAAAGGAAATCCCTTCTCCCCTATAACCAACCAAGACTCACCTAGACAACAGAATCCAATGTGACTAAACAATTAAGGACAGTAATGACAGCCTGGCACAAAGATCGGCGGAAATAAATGGTAAAGGTTACAAAGACACAATCTGTCAGTAATGGTCTAGCTCTAGCCTATAGCAAACATTCCTTCCAGCTGTCCAAGATCCCAACTCTCCCTCCCTGTCCCCCCTCTTCCTCTTCTTCCATAATTCTGCCCCACTCCTCTCCCCAGCATCTCTCTAGGCCTCCTTCTAGGTCTTTTCAATATCCCACAGGCCCTCAACATCTTCAGCAGGGCCAGTTCTACTTGTTAGAAGTTTTCCCTCCCTCAAAGCCTGAGCCTGCCTTCCCACAATTTCCCTGCAATGCTCCCCTCCAGCAAACCTAACCCTTTCTCTAAGTGACCACCCTGGCTCTCAAACCCTGGCCTAATCCTCTGTGGCCCAAAGAGGGCCTGGGTTTCAGGATGGGGTATGCAGACCTGAAGGACGACTCCTGGGGAGAGCAAAATGAAACCCCAGAATTTTGGCAGCAGAACTGTTTGGCCTAGCCATAGCTCAGGTAGGTTTTTGGTTCAGCCACTTGCGCTGGTGGGTAGGGGAGGTGCTCAGACCACTCTCCAGGGATTTCTTCTATCTCCGTCTTAAGGCAGAGCCACCAGACCTGCACTTTGGTGGCTGAGAGAACAATGTCCTAAGTGGGAAGACACTCCAAGCCGGAAGATCAGCAGCAAACTAGCGCAACAGTCCAGGAGAAAGGGTGCCAAGGCCTGTGGGGTGTTGACGGTGTCAGAGGAGAGAAGGGGGGCATACAGAAAAGATTCTATGAAGAGAGAAGCAGCAGGACTGGGCAAGCGACTGGCCACGGGTATGAGGGTGAGGGGTCGAGGATGACACCGAGAAATCGATTCTGGGGGACTGAGAGGATGGCGGTGCCCATGACAATAACAGCAAAGGTCAGAAGAGGGAAAGGTTTGAGGGGAAAGATAATGAGTTCTGCTTGTCTACTGGATATCCACTTAGAGATGTCTAATAGGCAGATGGTAGTGAAACAGTAGAGCTCAAGAAAGAGGTAAGGGCCGGTTAAATAGATAGGAGAATCATCTACACAGAGATCCCTGAATCCATGGGTGATGGTTAAATCACTGAGTACTGAGAGCATGGAGAGAAATGAGAAGGGAACCAAGGGGGACATCCACAGTGAGTGAGCGTGAGTTGGACAACGATCCAATAAAAGGAACGAAAATGGAAGCGGGGGGAGGGGGGGCAGCTAGGTGGCACAGTGGATAGGGCACCAATCCTGGATTCAGGAGGACCTGAGTTCAAAGCTAGCCTCAGACACATAACACTTACTAGCTGTGTGACCCTGGGCAAGTTATTTAACCCCACTGCCTAGCCAAAAAAAAAAATAAAAAATTAAATATAATCCCATTTAAGGGGGCAGTTAGGTGGTGCAGTGGATAGAGCACCAGCCCTGGATTCAGGAGGACCTGAGTTCAAATCCAGACTCAGACACATAACACTTAGTAGTTGTGTGACCCCGGGCAAGCCACTTAACCCCACTGCCTAGCCAATAAATAAATAAATGAATGAATGAATGAATGAAGAGGGGTGGCTAGGTGGTGCAGTGG